CAAAGGGCAGTAAATACCCTTCTTTCATTGTCTTGCTTTCCAAGGTGTTTCATTTTTCAAGAAATGGCACTGTGAGTGTATCTTTTTAAACTACTTGGAAGAAAGTCACTTCAAACTGTGTTTAAAAGCAAAATAAATACAATAGTCCCCAGAAAGGAGACACAGACGGCATTTTATTACATGAATCAAGGCAGAATTAGGAATTTTAAATGACCCATGGGGCTGACCACAGACTTCTGTATCAGTGTTAATTTTAATAAACTGTGGTCTTTGACATTTTCCTCATCAGGCACTGAGTGGGTGGGTATTAGGACAGAGTACGAATTATTTGAATTTAATCTTCATCTGCTACACATTTTGAAGACACATATTCACTTTTATTCTTGTTTGTATTGGGGACAACCATATTATGAAATGGATGAGGTTTTGGTTTGTTAAAGGTGACTTTCAGACATTTATTGCCTGCAAAATGGGTTCTACTGATCAGAGCCCAAAACATTTCCACAAGGAAATGTTCTTCACTTGAAGGAGAAATGACCCTGCTCTTCAAGTTCCTCTGTGTAGTGACTAACTAAATAAAATTATTAGTTTACAATTATGGTGTGAAATTAGACCTCTTCTGGATAACCTTCCTTATGTCGTGCCTAAGATGATTACAGTAAGAAGCAGGGAAATGGATGTTCCTGATGTGTTTCTAGACAAGAGTAGATCTTGGACATCCACACTTCCCACCTGCTGTCTCCTTCGACCTTGGAGGTCTCCCAAGAAGAGACTTGGAGACTATGAGTCACCTGTAGCTGCTTCTTATTAAGGACTAAGGGTATCCCCCAAATACATCCATTACTTATAAGGAACAGGATCTGATAAGGCTGTTATAGAATATTACTAGCTTTTCTAATCAGGGTATTTTGACTAAAAGGACAGATTACTTCAAATCACAGAGGCCAGAATAAGGGAAGTGCTTGTTGTGAAGATACATGTGGACTGGAACTGGAAAAGTGTCAGGAATCATGGGATTTCTAGGTTCTGCCACTCTCTCTGTCTCCCATAAACAACTCAGGCTTGCTTGCTCTTGGGTTCTCTCCATTTCCCCACGTGGTCTCTCTCCATTCTTTTCTACCGACTCTACTTACTCATAACACCTGCCTCCTTGTGCCACAGGCATGCACAGGAATCCCGGCGGCTGTCTCAGATTCACTTTACTGACACCTTGCTAACTTCGGTTCCCCGCTGCTTATCACTTGCTTGGTTTGTTCTGGGTTTTCTAGTTCAGATTACCCAGAAAGGAAATTTGATTGGCCTAAACCAACATTTTCTTTTTGTTTGTTTTTAAACAAATCTTTATTTGGAAACTCACCACTTAATTCACTCATTTTAAGTATACAAACCATTAATATTTAGTAGATTTATAGAGTTGTGTAAGCATCACTGTAATCTAGTTTTAGAACATTTTCTTCAACACAGAAAACTCCCTTGAGCCTTTCTGCAGTCAATCCCCAGCCCTACTGCCAGCTGTGGGCAACCACTCACTTGCTTTCTGTCCCTACAGAAACATCTTTTCTGAATATTTCACTTAAGTGGAACCATATATGTTGTATTTTGTGCAAGGCTTCTTTCACTGAACACGTTTTTGAGTTCATACTGTTACAGCATGTGAGGGTATTTTGTTCCATTACATTGCTGAATAGTATTCCATTATGTGGCTAACCCATTTGGAATATTACAAATGCATTTCAAGTGGAAAATCCAATGGGATATTCCATTTCACCAGTCAGTGGACATTTGGATTATTTCCAGTGTTCGACTATTATGAATAATGCTGTTATTAATATTCATGAACTCATCACACGCTGTTTTGATTACTGTAGCTTTAGGGTAAAGTTTGAAATTGGCTGTGCATGGGTCTTCCAATTTTGTTCTTCTTTTTCAAAAGTGTTTTGGCTATTCTAGGTCATTTTCATTTTCATGTATGTTTAGGATTGGCTTATCAATTTCTAGAAAAATAAAACTTGCTGGTATTTTAACAGGGATTGCATTCTGTATTATCTATTATGATCAATTTGGAAAGAATTACCGTCTTAAAATATCAAGTCTTCCAATCCATGAACACGTCTGTTTGTTTGTTTGTTTGTTTATTTTTTGCAATGTTAAACATATGTTTGTATTTTAATCAAGTTTATGCCACTGCCTTCGATTTCAATCTGATAATGCGGTGTTTTTTTCCTTCCCCTATTCAGCCTTTATATCTCCTTTTTTCACTTTGAGAACACATCAAAGTGTTTTTTTTTTTCAATTTTGTAGAACCAAGTACTTAGAGTTGTTACATCCATTTCAATAAAACAAATTCATCAAGTGAATTTCAAGATTTCTTTGCAGTGCTTTTCTTTTGTCTCCCTTTCTTTATCTGTCCTACTGAGGAGGGTGTGCAGTTAGGACTATGTTGTTTAAAGTACTTGGATTCTTTTTTTTTTTCTTTTTGTGTGCTTTACTAACAATTTGATATATGGCTAGGTGAAGTATATCTGTTTGCATTTAATTTTTGTCTATTTCTGTCTTTGTTTATGCTTATATACTTAGAAACAAATAAATTTGTTATGAAAATTGATGAAAATTATTATAATATAAAACTTAAGGAAGCAAATGTTCAAAACATTCATCACATGAATTTAAAATTTTTAAACATACAGTGGCAACAGCACTCACATTCTACTTTTTCCCCCTCCTCACAATTCCCTCTTCCCTATGAACTCTTGAAATGGCTTTGTGTGACTAAAGTCAGAATCAAAATGATGTCATTTTTTTGCATCTCTTTAGCACGTTCCCCTGGCAGGAAAGTTTTAAATTCTGATTTCTTTGCTCAAGTACCAGATGTAACTGTACTGATGAAAATTTTTCTATTTTGATCCTTAATGGGCTTATCTGAATCACTAAGATGAACAAGTGGTCTTTTCACATAATACTAAAATAAATGTATTATGTAAATTCTGTGTGTATCACATTAAAAGGGCACAAATTGCCTTCTCCTCACGGCTCTGCCACATCTGGCATGACGACTCACACTCACCACATCTCTCAGATGTGCTCTGCTGCCAGGCTCCACATTGTGGAAGTCCAGAGCATGTGATCAGAAGGGGCTCAGCTCTGCTTTGGCTTTGAGGGTTCCCTAGTTCTTTGGCTCCTCTTGCCTGAAACCTGACCCGGTGACCAGTGTCCTTCCTGAGGTCCTAGACACCCACCAGAGCCCTCCAGATGATGTACCACGTACCACTGATGAGTCTTACTCAGTTCAGTTATGCTCATGTGACTATCTGACCTGGGACAAAAAGCCCAGGGAGGTGGCAGTGTGCAATAAAGAAAACAGGGCGAGGAGTCAGACATGCCAAGTTGTTACTTCTAGTACTCACCAGCCCTACTGATGGGGACAAATCTTTCCTGATAATTCAATCTCACTTACCTTATTAGATCACTTGTTTATTATAAAAGGATATAACTCAGGAACAGCCAGATGGAAGAGATGCACTGGGCAAGGTATGGAGAAAAGACATAGAGCTCTCACGCCCTCTCCTGGTACACCACTCTCCTCAAATCACCATATATTCACCAACTCAGAAATTTCTGTTTAGATATTTAATTTTTCACTCACGGAAGTGTAGAATAGCTCAGTGTACAAATATTGCATTTCTATTGTTAAATTTACTCTCAAATATTTTATTCTATCTGATGCTATTATGAATAGAATTATTTCTTTAATTATATTTTTTGGATTGCCATTACTAACATACAGAAATATTACTTATTTTTGCATAGCTTGTATCTTGTGATATAGAATACTCTTTATTAGTTATAGTAGTTTACTGTGAAATCTTTAGGTTTTCTACACAGACAACAATGTAGTCTGCTGAGAAAAACATTTTTATTTCTTTCTTTCCAGTTTGGATGAATGGCTGTATCTCTATCTATCCATCTACCTATCTGTTACTTTATTGTACTGTCTAGAACTTCTGGCTATAATTTTAAATAGGACTGATGAGAGTGGACATATTTCCAGATCTTAAGGGAAAAGTATTACATCTTTCACTATTACGTATGAAATCTGCTGTATATTTTTAAATAGATACCCTTTATCAATTTGAGGAAGTTTTATTTTATTTCTAGTTCATTGAGAGTTTAAAGAATGGGTGGGTTTTATATTTTGTCAAATGCTTTTTCTTCATCTACTGATTCTATTAATATGATATATTACAGTACTTGATTTTCATATATTAAACCAACCTTGCATTCCTGGGAAAAAATCCCACTTGCTCATGTTTTATATCCCTTTTCATATATTTATTCCTAATTTTTCTAATATTTCTAATATTTCTAATATTAAGGATATTTGCATCTACATTCATGAAAGATATTGGTCTGTAGTTTTTTTTATTTGGTTTTTCTTTTCAATCTTTTCTAGCTTTGGTATTAAGGTAATACTGGCCCCAGATAATTATTTGTGCAAAGTTTTCTCTACATCCCAAAAGAGTTTGAGAAGAATTGGTATTATTTCTTTTGAGACTATTTTTATAAAATTCACACATGAAGTCATCTTGCTTAGAGTTTTCTTCATGGAATCATTTTAAATTTCTAATACAGAATCTTAAATTGTTTTAGGTCTTTTCCTATCTTCTTGGATCAGTTTTAGCAATTTGTTTATTTCTAAGAATTTTCCCATTTCATCAAACTGTCTTATTTTTAAGCAAGCTCACCTTTTTGTGTCAGATGATATCATAGATTACTGCCCAGTCTTGGATTGATCCTCTTTGCCATCCACTCATTTGTGGCTATGGAGGAATAGAGTATCACTGTACAAAGCAAAGATGCCAAATGGGTGTTGCATTTGGTAGAGACTAGGAGAGAATATAAGTGAGGCATGGTTCTTTGGTAGCTGTGGGTTGGAAAACGTTCTGAGTGTGGTTCTATCCAATATACCAGTTTAACATTTCAGCACAAATTCTTATACTTACTCTTGGGGTGGGAACTTTGTAATGTTGAAACAACAGTTGAAAGTGGACATTTTCTCACTGTTGTACTTGTAATGTTGGCTTCAGTCGTCATGACACCTTTGGTTGTGGTTCCTAATTATGTAAAAAGAATGAATAGCTATCAGGAGTATAATCAATCACTAGATAGTCTCATTAATATTAATATAAACATCCAGGTACAACTTGAAGATTAGTCACTTAAAGTCTTCTGATCAAGATACAGAAATCCAATGTTTTGATGTCTGCCTTTTGGTGAGTCAGTTAATTACATTTTTTAAAAATGGAAGGACATTAGACTCTTCTACATGCCTGCTATAGGTTATTTCATTTGATCATAACAGTAATTCTATGAAGTAAGTAATAATTATGATCATAATTTTATGTATGACTCAGCAGAGTTAAATAATTTTCCCACAGGAGAGAGCCAAGCCTTTCTGATACAAAACCTAATTACTCAGCTACCCTAGAAAGGGGGTGGTGGTAAGGAAGTGGTAGTAGTTGAAGATGGTACCATGGTTCCCATGCTGTCTGGGAGAGAATTTTCAGGTAGGTGGAATAGCTAAGAGGAAAGAGACAACAGGAAATAAATAGAATAAACTTTAAATTATACTTAGTTCATTTTCTTGGGGGGAAAAAAGGAAATTTAACAACAAAGATAAGCTAAGTTTTCAAAAATAACATTGAAATAAGATTAAGCACAGATATTACAAAAACAAAATGATTAAAGCCCTTTGGTCTTTTCAAAGTCTAGTATGGGGAACACTGAGTTAGTATGAAAAGGGTAAGGAAAATGCTTAGTGTTAGCTAGATACGATGTTGGCTGGAGATGGGGGGAAACCAGTTTAATAGATTACTATCACGCAGAGGTTTGGAAGCCTGATGACTTGTGTCTGTCAGAAGTGCCAATCAGCTTTCATTCTATGGCAACAAGCATCTACAGTGCAATGCAGATTCTTAGTGCAGTTGAGAGATTCATTCTGGAGAAAGCAACAGTTTGGAAGAAGACCTCACAGACAGTGGGTAAATATGTCTTCAGGCAAAAAAGCCTTTAGGAATCAGTGTACTAAAAAAAGTGAATAAATTTGAATATAGGCTATAGCATTAACACCGCATAGGAGGAAGAATAAGCGGAAATGGGCACAAACTTCACAGGAATCTTGAAGTGTTAAATTGAGATGGAAACACTTGAGGAAGTAAAAAAATGTCTTACAGCAGCAGGAAAGCAGAAATTGCTGTTTGTAATAGCATGGAAATGGGAAAGGTGCAGAAACTCAAAATCTGGGGATGAAAGAACCTGCGGGGATAAAGATTTTGCTTCTCACTGGAACTTCAAGAATATGTGCTTAGAAATATCAGAACAGTTCTTTAGAAATCTTCAGAGAAGAATTCTTCTGCTTGAGCTAAAATTGGAAACCATATACAAGCTATCCTGATGGCCTAAAGAATTTTCTAATATAAAGCAGGCTCAACCATCTTAGTGATGGGAAAAAAAGAGTATATAACTAAGAAAGATGTGGGGAAGTGCCAGATTACAAAACTACAAAGAGAAGAGCAGAATGATGGAATATCTGGAGATACAATGCCAAAGATTTTGCTTAGAGGATTGGCTATTATTACTGTGGAATATACTTCATAAATGAGGGTAGAATTAGAGCCCTCGCTCAATTAAGGACATGTTGTCAATTATACACTGTCAACTAGACAACAGAAGGAGATGAGAATGCTTAGAAAGTAATCAAAATATTGAGAAATAGACATGATAGACCATGAAAATAAAATAGAATGAAAGATGAATAGAGTGAAAGATGAATAGAGTGAAAAATGTAGCAACCAATGCTGCCACAGCCATAACTTTTCAAATTTCACTGGTACACTGAATGTTTCAAATCCTAGTCTGAGGAGGAAAGAAAATGGGTGACGGACATTTATTAAAATATGAGAACTACAGTCTTGTGTTAACATCTTATTGGAAAAATGTTCCCAGCTGCACTTTGGGTTCATACATAGTAGATTCTGGACTCCTGCCAAGAAGTGATCGACACCTCAGAGAAAAAGGAAACCAATCTTAAAGCTGTTCTTTAAGTCCACATGGTTTGCTCTCTTTCAGTTTTTCTGTCTAGCTATTTTCTCCTAGATAACACTATGTGTCTGCTTTAGTCTACAGGTGTGAATTGTACTGGAAATCTGGATAATAATACATGTATTAGGTTGACATACATTATTTTGCTTGAGAAATACTAATTTAAATTTCAGCATCAAGATGACATTGGCTTTACTTTTAGGACCTGTGTTTTTGAAATTTATGTTCTTTTTTCATGTTCTTGATTTAAAAAAAATTGTTTTTTATTGAAGTGTAGTTGATTTACAACATTAGTTTCAAGTGTACCACAAAGTGATTCAGTTATACATATACACACATATGTATATATTTTTTCAGATTCTTTTCCATCATATGTTATTATAAGAAATTGAATATAGTTCCCTGTGCTATATAGCAGGTCCTTGTTGTTTATCTATTTTATATATAGTAATGTGTATCTGTTAATCCCAAACTCATATAAGGAACTTTAAAATCATATTTGACTTGTAATAAGGAGACTCTAACACAAGAGATGCTTAAGAAAGTTGCATCAGTACCAGAGTATAAGTGAAGAGAAGAGATCTTCACTCCAACCATAGCCTTAAGTGAGAAACACTGGCTAGAACCAAGCAGAATGAGTGTGAAGAATATGGGCTGTTTTGTAATTGGTCTTGGAATTATCCATGTGAGATTCATTTTGTATCTTTTGGGAAGTTAAATTTGAGGGAGTAAGCAATAAATGTGGATATTAATTATATTAGGAATTTAAGATGTATTTACAACAGATTGACTTGAAAGGGAGAGTATATGGAGGATTAAATTGTTCAGGGAAGAAGATTAAGCAACTTTACCCTTTGAAATTATGATTTGACTTACAGTATTATTTTATCTAATGCACACAGCAAAAGCTTCTTGTGTGATCACTTTGTTTTCAGAAATAGAATATGGGGTAAGTGACTTTTTGACAAAGTTAACATTTACTAAAAAAATACGCTATAGAATACTAGTACTGTGGCACACTATTTGGTTATGTTTTTAAAAATGTTTTTATAGTCAAATTATTTGGAGATGCATAAACTTTTTAAATGTCAAATGGATATCTTTATGTTAGGATTACCGAGATTAAAAAAAATGTTATTGTGCATTGTAAAACCCCTAGGAGGACAGTATTTTTCAAAAACAATTGCCCAAGTAACTCCATTTTCAGGGATCATTTTATAGACCAGCGCTTCATAGGAATTCTGTACCCATGACAATGAGGGTAATCTGGGATGAACTTAATTAATATCCGGATTCATTTAAGTGACTTCTGAGATAATATTAAAGAGCCCATGGAGAGATTGTGAGGAGCCTAAACCAATGGCCCTCGAGGGATGTGTCAAAGTAGTGGTAAAGACTGGAAAAGAAGGTTCTTAATGTTTGCTCAGATTCTTCCAAATGCCTCCCTTAGAGTGAAAAGCAATACCCTAGAATGTAATTAAGTTTAAATGCAAAGCCCGAGGGAAAAAATAAAGATGTGAAGGAATGTAGGCTAAATGCCTGAACAATTCGAAGAGAAGGTAAGATTGCATCTCCTCCAGTACTCATTCCTAAGGAAGAGGACCTCAGATAATGAAACCAGACTATCATGGGATCCCCAAAGATTCTGAAGAGAACAAAATGGTGGTGGGGAAGGACAGGTAGAGTAGGGCCAGAGCTTTCAGCGGAGACAAGAAGAGGAGAAAGTTTCATTTCTATGTAAACTTTGTATGTCCCTTTTCTTTTCCATATTATTTAGAGGGTGGATTGAAGTAGGAATTAAGTGCCCCTTGGAATTGTGTGTTTAGCAATGTCCTACGCCTTGTAAGACCATCTAGGACTTGGGTTTAACCCCAGGAAAGTAGGCTGGAGAGGACCACTGAGAGCTCCTTGCTGGCTATGCCTGGTCTAGTAGGGTGTCTAGATGTCTTCAGATGTATCGGTCTTCTAGCCCAGTTCACCAAGGTAAGTTCATATAGGAACCTGGGACTGATTCCAGGTCAGGAATAAACTTAGACTTGCACTTAGAGTGGCTTTTTGCATTATATACCCCAAATCAAGTGAGTTGGGGGTTTGGTGATTCAGAGCAATGTAGTAATTTGGGCTTTCTTTTTTAATCCCTTTGTTCTTTCTTAGAGACTTCACTAACAGATAGATGTTGACTTTCTACTTCCTTAAAGTCTATTTTAATGGTGTTTCCTGGAGCCAGAGCAAATCCTGGTAGGAGTTGCTTCTTTATTTTCTCAGATCTGTTTACTTATTTACCTATCAAGTCCGACACATGAAAAATCAGCATAATGCTTACAGGGATGTTAAAAGCTTCACAAACATATGAGCTGCCCCGTTTGAAAACTGTAGTTCACAGTTACCAATGAAGTTATTCCCAGCTCAGGAGGTGAGTGAAAAAGAGTAGCTTTGTTTGTTTTCCAGTTGTAGAATACACAGTTTTTATTTTACTATGGATATGAACTATGTTTAGATAAACAAAATAATGACTTATTGCAGGAAATTTTAACTGTGCTACTAAAGCCCTAAGGGCTCCGTGGGGAAGCCTCACAGACGGTCTTTACTGGTAAGAGAGAGAAATGCGGAGAGGCGGGCAGAAGTCCACCCTCACACATCACCACCACGCTGCCTCCAACCGGGCAGGGTTCAGTGTCTGTTTGCTATGTGCACACTCTGGACTTTCTTAAGAGACCTTAGGAGACCTTAGGAGGAAACATCTCTGCTCATTACAAACAATTTTAGTCAACAATTGCTATAATAATGAGAGTTCTAAAATCAGACCTTGCCTGTCCACACAAGATGAACAACATCAGAGTAGACAGCAGATCTATTGTTATTGTGAAATTCATGTGCTAATAGTATTTCTATGCTCTGCTTAAGAGCATCACTTTTCACCTGGACTTATTTACTCTTTTATAAACACAATTCTAACAAATTTGTTGTGTGTGTGTGTGTGTGTGTGTGTGTGTGTATGTTTTCCACTAAAAGG